GCCTCCGGCTGCCGCTGCCGGCGCCCCGGAGAGTACCCCGGCCCCTGCCAGGGACCTCTCGGGCGTGTCTCGCCCCCCGTGTGGGACAGGGCTCCGTTGCCGCCTTGGTTATTGGTGTTTTAAACAAAAGCGGTTGTTTTTGTACAGCTCCTTCCCCTGTGAGGTTACTGCTGGGTTCCCGTGGCGTACGTTCATCGGGGTGTATGTGTGTGTCTGCCTGTGCTCAACACAGAGATACAAAAGGGCTTTGAAGCCAGAATGCTTTAATCTTTAATATTTGGGAATGGGTTGTACAGGAGAAAGCCGTTCTTCATGACCCTGGTTATTAAAAGGTGTTTTATGACAAGAATAACAAACCATCTAATGTTGGCTGGATTTTGCCAAGGTGTAAGCAGTCTGAATTGTGCTTGTCTTTTGTCTGTAATTCCTCTTTGTGACCTGTCATGTCGTATGTCTTTGCTGAACAACGGCTGTTCTTCCAGAAGTTTTATTGTAAGCTTTATTATACAGAAAAGCTTTAAAATCAATAACAAGTCACAGTGAAGGTATTTATCTTTCTGTTTGGTGGAGGTTTCTCTTTTAGAAATGTGCTCCAGGTTTCTGGCTCCTTCACGGCTCGCCTACATGAGGGTCACCTACATAATCTTCTAGTCCTGTGTATCCTGAGCCATTAGCAGCTTCAGGAACATTTTGGAAATGACTGGTGGTGTTGCTGGGTGACCAGGGCAGTTTGGTACAGTAGCAGTTACACAAGTACTCTCTGGAGATATGGAAGGAATGTTGTTCAAAATGTTTGTGTTCATGTAAAAATGCAATTAAAATATTCCTGACTTGATATTCTCCCCACAACCCCCCCTCCCCCCCCTTTTTTTTTTTAACTGGGGATTTCTTATGTTTCTTTAGTAAATAGGAACCATAACGTTTTGTAATCTGAATTCAGCTGTCAGTAACTATTTGAACAAAATTTAAATACTTGAAGTGACCATGTACAACAGCTTCTGTCAGATTGTATTAGTTGGCTGGATCTGTACCCAAAGGTAATTCTGAATGCCTGGAGAATCATTTGCAAATTCTATAAACTCTGTTTGGAAATCCTCCTCTTGACTCGCCATAGGAGAAGGCGGTGTTGAACTGCAGCCCAGGCCACATTCTGACTGCCAGCACATGCTGTAATTAGTAGTTCAAGCTCTGTACAGTAATACATACTCGTTGCTCTGCAGACAAGTAAACAGTAATGATGTCATTTAATTTTTAAAAATTACATCTGAATTCCATACTGCATTCTAACTAAAGTTATTGAAACTTAAGTGGGAGCAGGTCCTTGAAATTAAATATATGGTATAAAAGTCCAGACTGTAATTTACAGAGCAAAATGCTGCTCTGAATACTGGCTCGCTTATTAAAGCAGAGGCCAAAGGGGCATTTCCATTAAAAGGGACAGTGAACTTAAATGAGTTGTTTTGGTGAATATTATCTTGTTTCATCATTACGCTGGTGTATCAATGCTACTAAAAAAAAAAGTGATAATAAAAAAGCGGTAAAACAGATCACTTCTTATTCACAAAAGCTGGATACTTGGTTGTATTTCATTGCCTCTGTTATTACCCTATGTCCTGGTTCTGTGTGTTGAAGTTGGGCTGGAGGGTAATCTGTGAGCACTGCTTTCTTTCTAACTCATATTTTCAAAGCTCTAAGAAATGTTTGTAAATTTACTACGTTTCGTTTCTAGAGGATGCAGCTCCTTGGTGATTACAACTTTGGCTGCGAGCTGTTTTCATGATCTCCTGGAATTATTGTCTGCTTGCTGCACACCAACAGCTGTAAAGCTCAGAACTGTGTTCCTGTGTAACATCTTGATGCTGCTGTTGCTGATGGAGAGAAACAGGACTTGGTAGTTCACTTGGTGGCAAATTACTCAGGAGAAAAACTTTCCAGGGATCTGGATCGTTTTTACCATGGACTCCTCGTCTGTCCAGGAGGACGTTCACTTGGAGAACAGAAGCAGTAATGGGGCCCCTAGCAGCTCTGAAGAACTTTTGGATTGTAAAGCCAAGTCAAATTTGCCAGTTACGGCAGATGAAATTAACAGTAAGTTACTTCATATGCACCAAAGCATTTTCTAGTCTTACCCAGGCTTCTCTACAACTGTCTCTTTTGTCGTTCAGGTGATGCTGAAGGACTTCTTTCCTTGAGGTCAGGAATTTCTTGTACAGCAGTTTTAAGCGAGTTTGGTGAAGGCTATGGCTCTGTGTATGGGAAAACTGTCTTTTGTTTTAAAACTTATTCTTTCAAAACAAAACCAAACTATTAACTTAAGAACTATTGGCTGTCAGTTGAGTATGTGTTGTTCAGGGTGTTACTCTTTCTTCTGATAGTGTTTCTAAGAGTGTATACCTGAAATTCTCTAGAACTAACAGTTCTGAAATGATTGTTATGGAGTAAACTCATGACTGGAGTATTTTATTCTGGCAAAAGAAATTTTTCTAATAAATTAAATTGATTAGGCAAAACCCAAAGTGTACTTTAAAAGTCTCTCTAAACTTCCTTTTATGGAAGAGAGATGCTGGCATGTACTCCCCAAATTATCTCAAAATTACTTTTCTGTGTAGACGAGCGCTGTAATAAAATAATCATGCAGCTGTTTACAAGAAACTTAAGAGAGCGCTGATCTGGGTAGATTGTAGAATCAAACTTAGGTTGGAAGGGACCTCTGTGGGTTGCCTGGTCCAACCTCATGCCCAGAACAGACCTAGTTTTGAAGCTAGATCAGGTTGCTCAGGGCCTTGTCCTGTTGAATTCTGAAAATCTGCAGAGAGGGAGGTTCAACAGCCTCTCTACCCATTCCAGTATTTAACTGCTTTCACTGTGAAAATCTTTCCCTTGTGTTGAATTGAAATCTCCATGTTTCCACTACAGGTGTCCAAGGATATGTTGGTATACAAGGATATGGTGGTAGATGGGTGGAGGGGGTGTATATGTGGCGGCTGCGTAGATACACAAAAGTACAGAGATTCCTTATGTAAAAGGAGGTGATCACGTGATGAAGTTGTTAGCCTTCCACCCTCCTCTCGTACTGCAGATTTGTCACGGGCAAGAAAGTGGAGGCCTGAGACTTCATTTGTATTTCTTATGCTGCCCCTTATCAGACTGGCAGAGTGTAGTTATATGATGGTTTATTCATCTTTTATGAAGTTGGAGATCACACATTCCTGTTTTCTCCTCTGTTGGATATCGTCCAAACAATTGAATTGTGGCTTACAAATAGGTAGTGTGTCTTTCTACTCTTTTCAATATAATTGCATCTCCTCCCCCACTGTTCTAAAAAGACTGCAGTTGTATTGACATTACTTCAATTAAATTACTTTAGTTCAAGGCAGCATTTAGATTCTGAATGTCTCATGGCCTCAGGAAGTTGCCAGGAAACCATTCCTCCAGAATTTTGCTCCAGCATCTCTTTTGTATATGTATACCACTCACAGTTGTGAAGATAAAAATGTAAATAAAGTATAAACCTGATGCAGTAATAGCTGCAGTTTCTGAAAGATGGGCAGAAACAATATTTCTGAATGTGCAAGGTATCTTCTTATTTTTTGCTTCTTGTGGCTATTCTTAGCACTGACATCTATTTTAAATTTGGTTTTGACAATCTTTTAGTTTCAAAATGCCTTAAACTCTGACTTTGGTTAGTCATTAAAAAGGCAGTCCTGTCCTCTGTCCTCCTTTGCATCCTTGTTGCACCCATCCCTTCCATCGTGCCTGCAAGTGCTTTTGTGACCATATGGTGAACTCAGAGAACTGATTCAGGCTAAAATGGCCTGAAAATGTTCTCTCTGTGACAAATAAGATACTCGAAAATGTTTTAATTCAAATCTTAGAGAGCCGATGGGTTTTGGCAACCTAAGGCTGAAAACTTACTATTTTTACCCACATTCAGTTTCCTCATTCGGTTTCCTCTGAGCTGGTTCACTGTACAAACATCTGTGCTGGCTTAAGGGAGAATGCACCACAGAGGTGGGAACAAATGGTTAGGGGTGGAAATTTATCTTTTCTTCTTTAAATTACTCTGGAGTGAGATTTGACTGCACTTAAAAGGAAACCTCTTGCTTTCTTCAATAGCAAAAGGGAAAACAGTTAAAAAGTCCTACCTTCCTACCTGTAAATTTTTCCCATGTGGCTTATTTAATTTCAGGGTGCACTTTAATGTTGTCCACATACATGAACGATAATAGCTTTATTTTTGAATTGTTTTGCTTTCAGAAGTTTGTAGTGAATCATTATATGGGGGATAAAAGTTTAATAGCAATATGTTAATGGGCTGGTCTAAATCAATATTTAAAGTTTTATTGAATTGTTGTAATCAACTTCCTGGCTACAGAATATTTCTGCATATGAATCTTAGAAACACTTAGTTTTCGGAGGATCTGTTTCTCAGTTCTGGTTTGTTTGTGTTTTTTTTCTTTCCCACCACATCTTCTTTGAGCAGACTTTAAAAAAACCAAACTGCTTATTCAAGTCTGTAGCTCTGACAGGACGAAAAAATAGAAAGAGGAAACTTGATTTTTCCACTTGCAAATACTTCGTGATCATAAATGTTAAATATTTTCAAACATCTTTATGAAAAAATAATGAAATCTTCCGTATTATTCCAATGAGTTCCAGTTACTCCAGTGATACATGGTGTGGTAATGAACACAAAGACAGTGGCTATTTCAGTACCCTGCTCATTTGAGATCTATAATACATTTGAAGTTAGATACACAGTTTTGTTGCAACAGCAGTTTCTTAAATGTAGGTAGTCCCCAGCCGAGTGAAGTAGAAATGTGTGAGAAATCCAAAATAGGAACCTGTGAAGTGTTGAACTGGTTTTGAAGATGCATGTTTCCTGACGGAAAAGAAAAATCCAATATTAGTCAGTGGGGATAAAATTGGTATTACAGTGGTTCTTGAATTGCCTTTTAATTGGTAGATTTATTATTTTGATACATGTGAGCTTTGCTACTGTACGTTTGATGAAGACGTCCTATTTGAAAAAATTTAAACTCGGTTCAAAATTGAGAAACTCTGCTTGGCCCAGGCTGGAAGCCGGGATGGTGGATGCCTTCTCCCCAGTGCCCAGCAGCATACCAAATAGCTGAATCATTCAGCACAAGCCCACAGTTGCTGGGTCTTACTTGTAGTAGGTTGCCACTCAGTGTGACACAGATCACGTTACTTACAGTGTTTCATGCTTCTAAACCTAACCAGATTTAAAAACCCATGTGAGGTTTTGAAGATATTTTATGATCACTTTTGAGGTCCTGCTTGAAGGCAATGTAGCAAAGCAAATGAAAGGTACTTGTTCTGGTCTTTTTAAATGAAGAATCAAAAGTCCTTTATAAAATTCCTCCTGCCAGTTGCTGTCATTAGCAATTTCCGTATTCTTACAGTCTAAAGGCAATAGTGGAGCATTGTGTTTGGGTGGAGGTGTGAAGATAAATGGGGTGGCTTACAGTGTAGCTCAGTGAAACTTTCTTTTCCAGCTGCCAGTATTAATATCAACGAAGTGCCAAATGAAGAGGGAAGTCTGGAGATAAACAGCAAAGCGGATGCCTGCGAGAATGGGCCAGAGTCGCTCTTCCCCGACTCTCCTGTATCTTTTGACCCCACCAGCAGTGCGCAGGGTCAAGAGTCATCCCCAGGTGTGACTGGTTTCCATGACAGCCTAAGGAAGTCTCAGGGAACTAGTGCTGAGGGCATAGTTCTTAGAAAAGAAGCTTTGCAGTCTCTCAAACTAAGTCTTCCCATGCAAGAAACTGAATTGTGTAAGCATCTGTTTACGGTGGTGCCCCTGCTTTCTCTTGCTGCATAAAGCTTTTTACTCTGAGCCTGGCTCTGGAATCCTATAACATCATTTAAGCTTGGACTAAACTTTGTTTTTGCAGTAAGCTTTTACTTTGAACTACAATTCCTTTTCTTTCAGTAAACCACCCTCTGCTGCAGCTAAGGAACGTGCCTTACCGTTTAAAAATTTTTTACGCTGGAGGGGAATTTATGCTTTCTGGGGCTGAAGCTATTCTAATCTTCTTGATTATTAGGAGTAACAGGTGACATAAAAAAAAAATCAGCAGAACCAGGTGATTCTAAGCTAAGTAATAAAGGGGGGGAATAAAGGGAAGAGCAATAAAGAGGAGAGTAAGGGGAAGCCTTTATATTAAGATGTCTAATGCTGCAGTTTTCTGAAATAATGTTTTTAAAAAGCCTTACTATGGGGAAGATTTAATGTGAGTTAACACATTAACATTAAATCTAGGGAACATCTTTCTCTGACCTGTAGGGAATGAGTGGACTGCATAGGTCTTGCTTAGTTTTATAATTTTAGTACTGTCAGAAGTGCAGGACAGGTGAGATAGCAATAGTTTTGTTCTTGCTGTATAATCTCTTGTCATATATACGTGGAGGAACTACAGCATTTGCAAACTGAGCAACAGAAATACATAGGCTTTATCAATGCTTACACAAGGGTATGTTAGAAGAGGGTTTTCTGAGGTGCATGCCAATGGGCTTTCCTTGCATTCCTTGCTTAAGCATGAAGCATGTTGCTGATGGTGGAAGGAGCTTCTTCCTTTTGCATCAAATTTGCCTGTGTTGGAGTTTTCTGTTTGACTGTAAAGTTACCTTTCACTTACAGGCTCAGTAGAGTCTTCTCTCCCATTGGAGAAAGAAGAACAAATAAGACTTCAAGCAAGAAGACGGCTAGAAGAACAGCTCAAACAATACAGAGTGAAGAGACATCAAGAAAGAGTGAGTACCACGCAACAGATCTTTTAGATTCAGTGTGTTGTTGAAAACTTTATCCTTTCTGTGCACTAAATTACTGTTTTCTCTGCTTTAAACATTCAGTAGCTTTCTCAAATGTGAGAAAGCGTTTTTTTTCTTCTGGACGTGCAAAATTTGGTTCATTGTTACTTCATCAGTAATGTACCATTTTGTGATACTTAAAATAGGGGGGGAAAAAACAAACCCAAAACTTAAGTAACCTAAATGTTCAATTTTTCCTATATTTTTCAGTTAGCTTTTGGAGTCTACCTTGATCATTTTCAACAGGCATGTACTGAACCTTGATAGGGTTGATTGCTGATGTAATTTACCTTGTTTATGAAATGATTAATGTATTTAAAGACTAACGTAAAAGTGTAGAGCTTTACGTATTAAGTTCTACAGCAAAATTAGTCTCTGATGCTAGTTCAAATGTAACATTCTGGAATTTATCGTTGACTCTCTGCTTCTTTTAGTCGAATCAGTCTACGTCCAAAAACCGGCCCTCCAGCACCCTAGATCCTGAGCTGATGTTAAATCCAGAAATCTTGCCAAGAGCTAGCACTGTAGCAATGACAAAAGAATACTCCTTTTTGCGGACCAGTGTCCCCAGGGGGCCAAAACTGGGTAGCTTGGGACTTCCAGCATCCTCAAAAGAGAGAAGAAGTTCAAAATCTAAGCCCAGTAAGATCCGGTCCTTGGCTGACTACAGAACTGAAGATTCAGGCTCTAGAAACACTACTGGGAATTTTGTGACTACTGATTTATCTGGTGGGACTCTGAAGCAAAGCAGAAGCGGTCCAACATCAGTTGTTTCTGAAATTAGTCTACCCTCTGACACGGATGATCGGATAGAGAATTCCTCCTTGGCAGGAGATAGCATTTCAGAGATTGATGGGAGTGAAGTGGGAATGAGGCTGGATGGAAATGAGAGTGACAGCTCTACCTACAGCAGCGTGTCAGGAAAAGGGCTGTATAACAGTTTACAGAATGCAGAAGGCAAACAGGGTATTCCGTATACAATAAACGGTCAGAAGATACATCCTGATGCAATGGGGCAATTTCCTTCCATCAGTGAAGTGCTACAGGCTGCGGCAGTGGAGCGTCAAGCCCAAGAGCAAGAAGTTAATGGGGAAGTACGGAGTAGGAGAGACAGTATTTCTAGCAGGTAAGAAAGATCACCGTACAGTGAGGCCATTGTTAGGCATTATACTTTCTTGGAATAGGCATTCCATTACTCTTACCTTCTAACTGTGGATCCAGTTTTAACTTACATTCATTGTGATCACATCTGTTGTTAAATTACAGATTCTAAAAGAAACTGAAAGGTCACTTCACTTGAGTACCTATTTACTAAGAGTATCTTTAGAGAAAGATATTTTTGCCACTGACTGTGTTTTAAACATACTCCTAGCAGTTGCTTCTATCTGTATTTACTTGTGAAGCAGGCATTCGTTCACTGAATCAGTGATGTGGCATTGGTCTTTAAAGTCTGAAAGTGTAGACTTAACTGACTCAGTGATATTTGTTATCATCCTTTTCCTGATCTACGCATGTACCTTTCAGACCTCAGATAGTTATGAAATGCCAAGAGTCTTTTCCTAAATACTCTTATGCTCTTCAGCCCTTTAGAGTAAGATTTACTTAGTCTCACAAGCTTATGTGTATATGGTAGGTATGAAACTGTGTTTCAGCAAGCAAGTGGATGACTGGTGAAGCCCTTAACAATGCAGTTGTGGTTTTTATCAGTTGTCTGCAGATGCATGTTTTATACATGCTAATTTTGAAATTACCTTTTTTTTTTTTTGTTGGAGTAAAGTGTAATGCTCCGAGATGTTAAGGTAAAATCAGTTGCCAACAATTATTCCAGCTTAGACTTAATTCTTACAATAATGAGAGAGAGAAGATCTTTTTCTCTAGACTCCTTGGCTGTACATCAGGGAAGGAGCATAAGGAATCCCTTACACCAAATACCTGTTCTTCCTTCTTTTGCAGCAGCTGTTGGTATTTCTCAGGCACTTTCACATTAAAGCAGACAATTGCGGACAATATTTGTGGAGGTTTTGTGCACCCATTATGTCCATTTCTCTGCTTATAATGGCATATGCAGATACAGAATATAATGAAGTCAATCACTGCACTTCTGTAAAATAACAAATATATGAGCGCCACGCTAGATTCTAGTTGCTGCAAATATAGGAAACTAATTTATAAAACCTTGGCATGAATGTAATTTCTTTATCTCTTTGGATGGTAACAAAGGTGGTTTCACTGTGTTCTGGATCCATCATAAAGCCAGAAAAAATGTCCTAAATTCTTGGTCACACGTGGAGTCTGGGTACCTCTTAATTTCAGCTTCACTTTTCTTCAACTAGATAAGCGTTGTATTCTAACCCTTTAACTGTGTACGTGCTGTCTCTGTCTCCAGTGTTTCTATGGAAAGCTCAATCGCAGGAACTCATGACGAAATGTTGCAGGTTCTGAAGGAGAAGATGAGACTTGAAGGGCAACTAGAAGCACTCTCACTAGAAGCTAATCAGGTAGAAAATGAATTTGAATTTCTGTATTTAGCAATTATGTTAATATATTAATTAATTTTCAGGAGCCTCCTACTCATTACTTGTGGGAATTGTGTTTTGTAAAAACATTGTTGAATAAGGTGCTTTACAAGGATGCTGTGGTGGGTTGACCCTGGCTGGATGCCAGGTGCCCACCAAAGCTGTTCTATCACTCCCCCTCCTCAACTGGACAGGGGAGAGAAAAAAATATAACAAAAGGCTTGTGGGTCAAGATAAGGACAGGGAGATCACTCACCAATTACCACCACGGGCAAAACAGACTTGACTTGGAGAAATTAGTTTAATTTATTACCAATCAAATCAGAGTAGGATAATAAGAAATAAAACCAAATCTTAAAACACCTTCCCCCCACCCTGCCCCTCTTCCCAGGCTCAACTTCACTCCCGATTTTTTCTACCTCCTCCCCACCAGCGGCACAGGGAGACGGGGAATGGGGGTTGCGGTCAGTTCATCACCCATTGGCTCTGCCGCTGC